CTACGACGACGACGACGACGAGGACAACGACGACGACTACTACGACTGCTGCTGCTGCTGCTGCTTCCGCTCACTCCAGATCCAGCACAGTAGTATGTTACACTGAATATCAACAACTTCACGGTTGTGGCGCTGTTGACCTGTTCTGCCAGGTCTTGCCACGATAACGACAACAGCCACGGCGACGCCGACTTCGGGGCTAGCATGCATTGTGCCAAAAGCCACAGGTTCATGTCTACAAAGCATCGCCGTGTATTCCTATATATCTTAATATTGTAATGCGGGGATCTGCTAATTTTCGGGTCATGTTGCAAAGCAGTCACTTCTTGACTGACGTTGGCTGCGTCTCGATCAAAGTCACAAAAAAAGTTGGTAGGATGTTGGACTATGTATGCAGGTGTAGGGCTGCCTTGTGGTCAGACGGTTTAACCCCAAAGCTTTTTTGCATCCTGTGCTCTTCTGTCCGCATGCAAGACAATACTTGCACAGTAAACAAAACCCTTTTGCACAGGCTTGCGTGAATCCCAAACCCAAAAACCCCCAAAAACCCCAACAGCTGCAACTCGCGAATCTTGGGTGCATTCACTGCTGCGGGCAGCCTGGCCGCACCTCCTCAAACCCTAGAAGCCTGAATTCCAAAACCCGATGGTGTGGCCTTCAGCATGCCGACTTCTGCTTCGGACATGGTGTCGGCGTTTTGCGGCTTCTAGATCGCGCTTTGAGGGTTTGTATATAGGGTGTTCAGGGCTTGGGGGCTTCAACGTCCCTTCCATCGCGAGACCTTAGCTGGGAATCTTCCATTTTAAGTGGACAGGCCCTCAACCACCTCCGAATTTCAAACTAGCCCGAAAATAAAAAAAAAACTGGTCCGAAATCGCCAAGACTTCAAACAACGAGTAATTTAGGGGCCTTAATAATTAGAATAGGGTTTTGCGGCCCAGTATTCTATAATTATAAAAAGAAACCACCCAAAAAACAGCGTTGGTAATTATCTAGGCCCCTACATTAAAAAACCGAGGGGCCATCTCCTGAGTTGTGCGTCGACACAAAGTTCTCGGATTGCTCGTTCGAGCCCAAATGGCTTGTTTAGGTTTTTTGGGGGGGGTTTAGGGTTTAGGGTCTTGTCTAGGGTTTTGGGTTTTTCAAAGAGGCGACGACGTGGGGCCCTGTAAAAGTAGATTGTTTGCTCCCTTCTTGCGGCGATCTTCTACGATGATCAAGAATATGTATTCAACCGTGGCCTAGTTTAGGCTTAGACTAGAGTATCTCGTCCTTGCCACTACTCTTCCGAACCATGATTCCCTGGCCTTGTTGCAAATATTCCGAGCAGTACTGCGATCATGACTGTGTGGCTCCACCAGATATAGTTAAGCTTGACGACTGGTATGACCCGCCTCCTACTCTTAGCAAAACCTTCACCCCTAAATCGCTACCCTGCTCAGGACTGCGACAGAGAAGCGTACGACTGGCTGAGGGCTGAAGGGTTTAGGGTGAACGGGTAGTATAGGGTTCGGGGTGGGATGCAAAGGTTTAGACGGCTTGGAGGAGAAACAAGTGGGGGTATGGGGCTTCCATCCTCAGCATAGCCCCGAAAATGAACAGGGCGATGCAAACACTCTCGGCTTACTGCAAACTCTCCAAGGATGACCATCATGCAGGAAGCCCTGAAAGGAAATCACTACAGGAAGCCTTTCCATGCACGAAACTTGCCCCTACGCCCGAAAAGCCCATCCCGCGCCATGCGGAGCTCGTCGGGCTTATCAGCGGGCCAAACTCCTGCAATGGATTGATTGCGTAGGCTTTATAGGAGTCTAGGATTTCGAATTTCGCCTGTTTTGGCGCTGACTCTCGAGCAAGCCAGGGGACGTTCGGGCAGCGTTCTCCGAAGAGAGACTGTGGTCTTTCCGTTTCCCTCGCTTCTAGTTCCAACCTCTCCATCATGCGTGGTGTCCTGCCCCTCGTGCTTCGCGGCTTAGATTTAGGGTTCACATTTTCGTCGAGAGCGGCTGACTGCAATGGTGCTGGAGCATGCAGACGGGTAAAGGCCAGACGGCTTGGGGTTCGCAGTAGAGTGCATGTCCGCAGCCAGTGTTTCGTTAGGTCAGTTTAGGTTGGAAGCTTATTGAAATTTTTTGAAAGCACAACTCTTGCTGGTCGCACTGGCAGCATCGCATGGCAGAAAACTTCAATCAACGACCATCTCTTTTCACGGCTGCTGCGCCTGACTCTGTACACCAGGGAGCATGGACAACCGTGCTTCTGGCATGGTATACCTGGTAGGCTGGTAGACACTTTGCCTTTCTGCGGTTGAAGCAGCAACCAATAAACTGAAACAAACAAAGCTCGAAACTACATTCAGGATTGAACAACACCAGGCTCACGGGTGCTGCCTCAACAGACATGGGCTTTCGGAATGATCTGGAAAGCTTTGAAAACCAAGACGGCCCCACATGGACTTCCCTTGTCTGCACCGGGCGTGACGCTTTGGCAAAGGAAGTTTCAGAACATAACAGCCCAAAGACCCGATATGATTCCCAAGCAGTAGTATCCTCGTTATACTGAATCAGGAGAATACAAACCCTAGATGAAGAGTAGGATGCTCATGAAAAAAGCTTTTGAATAAAGAGAACTGGAATTTTACTGCCACGGGCTTCAGTCTCTGGATGCCCACGCGGGGACCGTTCTGCACTGCACTGCTCGCCCTGCTCTCTGTACAATTAGAGCAGCACGGGTTGCAGTTTTTAGGAGACTTGTGGGTTTTAGTGGCTACAAGTAGCGAGTTTGCAGCCGTTTAGGGCACTTCCCTGCAATCTTGAGATGGAAAGCCCTCGTTCAGGCTTTCCAAGAAGAGCTGTGGGGAGGCATCCGTCACTCTCTGGACTTGCTCATCTTTGATGAGATCTTGGACCGGCTTCTGGTGCACCGTGGAGGCCATGATGAGTGAGGATCGCTCAACTTTTGCAATCGGGTTGACGTTGTTCTGGATGACGGTCTCTGTGACTGTCTTGTCGAAGCAATGCGTGGCTGCAATTACAACGTGCAGGCTCGCATGGGTCAAAGGCAAAGCTCCCGACTTTGTAAGAGCATCGAGTAGGTCGAAGGCAGCGTCTCTTTCCGTCTTCTGCTCTGCCTTGGACAAATGAGAAGTGGAAGGGCTGGCCAACAATGCCTTCTGAGACTGCTTTGTCCACCTCTCTCCGGGGTTGATGATGGTCGGCCGGAGGGAATTATCGGTGTCGAGCTTCTCAAAGCGTTGGTCCATTTCAGCTGGCACCTGCGTGTAGTCCCGGGTGGTCGAGCTAGCCCCCACTGATTCGCCGGGGAACCTCTGAGCAGGCTGCGGCACCGGCTGCCCTTGCTGCTGCTGCGGCTTGGGCTTCTTTCCCTTGCTTTCCCGGCCGTCCTTCTTGCTTTGGCGTGCGGCCGGAGCTCCCCAGGTGGAATCGGCCAAGGGCTTGGGTGCGCTGGTGCCACTAGCGCGTTCAGCTAAACACATCTGGATTGGGATTGCTGTCGTGCCGCCGGATCTAGCGACAGCACGGAAACCACCCCTCCCTCCGCCACCGTTGTAGCAAACTTCCTGCTCCCGCTGCTGGATCTCTTCCTGCTTTGCCTGCGCAAGCATATCATGCATCGCTTGCACGTGTCCCTTCACGCGTGCAAGCCTCTCGGCCGCCGTGGGATTCAAGAGCTCTGCCTCGCCCGAGGTGGCATCGAATGATAGCAAGTCACTGGGGATCTGGTACTTGATGAACAGCTGCATCAAATCCTGTGTGAGCTTGATCTCTTTTGTGAGGCTGTCGTCGGCCAGGTTCAGAACGCGCTCCAGCTGTGGCTTAATCTGCACCACGAGCACACCGAACAAGGTCGACTCCAGCTGCATCGAACGGAAGGCTTTTGCGAAGGCTTGCTGCTCTGGCGACAGAGATTCGATGGCATCTTTGAACTCCTTTGGGGATGGAATCGTCGAGAGATTCAAGGGTATGGTCAGTTCATCCTTGTTCTGGATGATGGCAGCATACTTCGGGTCGAAGCTGGTTGCAGACGAAACGCGTCCGATCAGAACCAGCATTGAACTGAACTGCCTTGCACGTGCAACCAATGACAGCTCACAGCCCGACTGTCCCGAGAACTGGTGCGAGAGCCAGGCGTGGAGGTGCCTCTCCCCAGCGAAAGTCACGGACGTCGAAGCATTGAGCGGGAAGGTCATAGGAGCTGACTCAACGTTGCTGGCCACCATGGTGACGATGGGACTGTTGATGTTGGAGTCGCCGCCCGGCCCAACCACTGCTTCCTCGATACTCACTGTTCCCTCCGGGCTGTGCATGTCCGAACGGCGCACAGAGAAGCAGAGAGGTTTCGGCAGGAATGACTCGTAGAAGAGTTTGCGATAATGAAACCTCATGTACGCAGCAAAATCGGCAGGGGAAACTTCCTTGCCGATGGCGGCAGCCAACTGCTTGCGGAGCATGTCCTCCACGTAGCCAACTGCATCGGCCCAGCTAGAACACACCCGGGCAACATGCAGCAAGCTGACCACTGCAAAGGCCTCTGCCCTAGTCGCAATTCCCTCTTCGGGGAAGGCCTCTACGAGATCATTCTGCTTCTGCTTAAGAGTTCGGACCTCTTCCTGAAGCAGCCGATTGGAGTCCTGGATCGTAAGCTGCACGTTGCTCTGGGCCTCCTCACGGACTGCCTCTACAAGGATGAGCGCCTCACTGGAAGGACCGAGATCTTCGATCGCCGCCTGTGGGCTCTGGACCATAACGGGAAGAACAGGGCTGAAAATGCTGTCGTCTCCTCGAAGTGCTGCGAGGTCCAGCGACTTTTTGGCAGCGGTCTGTACTTGGAAGAGCCCGGAGAGATAGCTGGATACCTGCTTGGCGAAAACCGCAACGCGCTCGCAGTGGTTGTATGCCTGCTGGACATCTTCGTTGCGCCTTGGGGTTTTGCAGTGTTTGGCCAATCGGTCGACGGTGAAACCAGGCACAGCCTTGTCGCTCTTCAGACTGCGGAAGAGCCAGTTCACGTTCACCTGCAAGTTGACAGCTGGCTTCTTCAATTCTGGTCGCGGAGACTGCTTCGTCGATGTTACAAGTTCTGCTTGTCCTGCACGGGTCATCAAGCACAGCCGGTCATCAGCAGTTCCACCAACTCCTCTGATTGCCACAAGTTCATACTTTGCTTCGAACTTCCAGAAGTATTCTGTGATCTTTGTAACCACCTTGCTGGTGAATGCAGCCTGCAAAGTGCCGCGGACCGAAACCTCTTCGACATGCCTTGTCGGAGCTTCTTCTTCTCGCGTTTCCTCTCGGAGGTAGCTGCATGCCTCCTCGGCGCTGAATTGGAACGATACGACTTTGTCCTTGGACCATTCTTGAAGCTTCTGCACGTGCTGCAAGGTCAGGCCTAAGGCGCCGAAGGAGTTCAGCTGTGATGCAACTGCCGCATTGGTCACGCCCTCCACCAACAGGTACTTGTCTTCGTACTGATGGTGAACATCGCCAGCTGCTTGCGGATCTTTGGTTGCATCCAATATGACTCGAACCCGTTCCAGGGCTGCCTGGAGACGCTGTTCCACCCGCCCTTCAGCAAAGGCTTCCATTGGAATCGGGAGCCGGCAGCTAGGTGTTAGGAACGGTCGTGAACCCACTGTTTTTGCAATCGAGCCAATGCTGGAGACAAGTTACTTGTGGGATTGGGTGCGGGCCTTGCGACTTCTTTGGGCCAGTAAGGCCGTATTAAAAGCAATCATTTGGGGTATCGATGTTGAAACATCTTACAGCTGTGTATATAAAAGTTATAGCTAGCTGTCGATATTATGCACTTGCAGGTACTTCGGTTCACAAGGTTTACAAGTTGATTCGGTTGTGTATCAGCCCTGCCCGAAACTCTTACAGAATCACAGACCCTTTATTGATAACCCAAATAGAAGCATAGAGCCCGTATAGAACCCTGGTGTAGGACCCTTATAGTGGGACCCTTACAGTATACCCTTTTGCAACTGGCCTGCAACGACTCCACCAGGACGCCTGAGCCCCAAAACCCCGGTTCATGAGGCCGTCCTTGGTGGACACATCGACGTAGATCAGCCTGGCCAGGCAGCAGCGTCGTTCGGGTTTAGAGAGTCAGGATATTTTTGAAGATCCCTATGGGTTCTGTAAGGATTCTGCACGGTTCTGTATGGCTTGCTAAAGTTCAAAATTAATGATGGTTCAGGGTTTAAGGGCTTTGGGTGCTTTTATGTCTGTCGGGTATGTGGAGATGATTGATAATCAGCAAGGGGTTTCCGAAAATACGGGACCTTCATATAGTACCCTGAATAGTAGGATCCTTCTCAATAAGAACCCCAAAATAAGGTACCCTAAACCCTAAACCCTAAACTTTCGGAAACTCCCAGCAAGCTCTGAGCTCTTGAGCATTCACGCAGCAAGGTCTCAACTCGTGGCTCGGGTGCTCCGACTGAAATGTTCCAGCAACAGCTGGGTGTTTGTATTGGTTTAGGGTTTAGGGTTTTTTTGTTTAGGGTTTAGAGATGTTTAGAGTTTTCCCCTCTGGGTTTAGAGTTTAGAGTTTAGGGTTTTTTTGACACTCACACTCGGACAAGCCTGGCAAGGTCCACGACGATACTGTCTTGATAGGGTTTAGGGTTTCTAATGTTAGGTTGGCGTGAACAGAAAGCACGGGAAGAGAAACGAAGTACTATAACCATAATTCCATATTTGTTTAAGTGCCTTGTATTTTTATAGTATGGCTTTTTCCAAGCCCGAGTCCTAGCAGCTTCCCGGAGCCTGGACACTGCGTCCGCGCACAGCAGCTGTGGCGGGGCCTCACGAATGACCTGAGAAGTTTGGGTTCCGGGTTTGGGAATTTGGGTTCAGCATGTTTTGTGTAAAGGGTTTGCGGCTTAGGGCTTTAAAGTTTAGGGTGGCCATGGTTCCAAGAGCGGGCATTTGACCCACAGAAGCAACCAAGAAGTCCGTGCATGTGCCGTACATGCTACTGCATCCACCCGCACATGTATGTACCCATTTGTTCATGCATACGATGTGTGTTTGAACAGATCTATGCCCATCTACCCCACATAGGCAGGCACGCACATATGTTCATACACATGACTGCAGATAAACGTAGGACAACACCAGCCGAAGTGCTAACATGACGAAACTCGCTAGAGCTTTCTGCAACAGGCAAAAACCGACCCTTATTATAGTTGTAACTTTACAGAAGTATAGCATAGATACCACAAAATCCGGCTTGAACATTCAAGCCCCTGGGCCCCAGACTCGTCGTTGTGGTGGTGCAGATGGGGAGGCGGCTGAGGGTGCTTTAAGCCCAGGGATGACTGCCCTTCGGCACAGGTTCAAAGATCGGCGAAAACCGAGCCGGAACCTCAATTCCAAGAACTCCCTCACCCCATGCGCCGCAGAACTCAGACTGCTTCGTAGCATGATCCCTTCACAAGTCCCGGCAGAGGCCAGTCGAAAACAAAAGCAAGTTTCCTGAATCCTTAAACATCAACAGTTGGGCATGGATTTTGCCCCAACCCTTGGATGCACCCCCCATCCTTTCAAAAGATACTCTGACACCCTACAACATTCGGGCAAAGCTGCAAATTGTCCGTCCCAGCGCTGGTAGGCCCATGTACCTCATAAAGAGAAATAGGATGTGCATGGCTTAGGCAACATTGAAGCCTTCACCTGAGCATTGCCGGTTTAAATTTGGGCCTCGAAACTTGCTAATCTGTCTGCCCCGCGCAAGCACAGCAAGACACCACAAGCCGAGCAACACTGACAAGTCTGTGCCGCCACAAGTAGGTCCTAAATTTGGAAACCCACGTCTGCAATCTGGTGTATCACTGCCGTACTGCCGTAAAAAGAACGCCGCACACACGTTTGACTTTTCGACTACAAGGGCCCAAAACCATGTATCAACCCTGAAGCTCATAAGCCCCAAAACCGTAAATCACATCCGTCTGAACCTTTTACACTTGGGTCTGTGCTGAACTGGAAAACCCTATACGCTGCACCCTGGCAGTGAAGCCTAAACTTCACTTCTCATGACCTTGAAAGCCGCAACTCGACATAAGTCCCTCAGATTTCCCTGAACCCTACAATGCCAAACCCCAAAACCCCTCTTATTCCCCGGACTGGAGCCCTACCATCCATTTCAGGGGCCTTCCAGGTGGCAGACCATCTCATAGCCTACCAACTCTCGAGGATTCCGGAGAAGCCCCAGCAGAAGGATTTAGTCTTTGTAGGGATTTTCAAGGTTGCTGGATAGGTGGGATTTCGGGAGTTGCTTCAGGGACTTCCGACTGGGCAAGGTTCTAAGATGTACACCCTGCATTTCTGCGTTCAAAGGCGAAACATGAAGCCTCTCCCTCCGGGCCCCACTCTCATTCTCGCACTCCCTCCCTCTCCCAGTCGCGCTCCAGGGTCCTCGGTTCCCCGGGCCTGTGATCTGCGTCGGTGGCACCAGGTTGTACCGTCGCCGCTTCAACGTGGACTCGAACTCTTCCTCTCAAGTTTAGGTTGAGGGCTCAAGCTCTTTACTCAAGGTCATGTGTCAGGTTGGTAGTAAGTGGAAGGAGCCTTAAACAGCCAAAGGTTACCAGAGTAGAGCAGATCGATCAAGACAAAGCAAGCACAACACATCTTTGCCGGCACCCCGGCTTTGGCGAAATGAGCAGCCGCCTACTACAAGGAGTTCATCCTTCCATCGATGAGTGGAGTTGCACAAACTCTGCGCGCTGCGTCTTGCGTCTTGGTGACGCGTGCCAACGAATGCAACTGTGGCTGAAAACATCGCTGCAGAGCTTCTCCACCGGTATTTGCCGGTACTCATGCCGTCTCTCTCCTGGTAATGTCTGTTTCGATGTTGCTGTGTTTCTCCCTCACTCTGCCTCCGAATCTTGCTTTCCCTCTTCACTGCTAGGGGATTTCAGGATATGCCGGGACACCGGAATTATTGGGAAGGTTGGCAGGCAATGGGAAAATTGCGCCGCAGCTGAGTGGAACAACTTGAACCCGATGAATATCCCACTACGGCACGCGGACCCGTAGTTGCAACTGTCACGACGCAAGTACTGTAAACTTAACTCGCTGGCTAACCCGCGCATTCTTTAGTTCCTTCCTTCCTTCAGAATCGAACACTGAGAGCTTGAAAGACATCGAAGGAAGCGGGCGGTCCTGTCCATGATGGATCTGAATGATGTCCAAGGGCAGCTGGGCTTCATTTCGCTTTGCATACATCTCGCCTCAGCAGGCCCAAGTCCATGGCTTCGGGTTTAGGGTTTAGGGTTTAGGGTTTAGGGTGCTTAGCTCTCCAGGAACAAGGAATTGATTCGCGGCAGCCACAGCTGAAGCACGAACCATCACTAACTGACCTGGGAGAAAAAATGGTTTCGATGCCTGATCTTGTCTGCGTCTTTTTGTGTATGTGTGGGCCCGCCTGTGTACCGAAGAATCTTTGGATACATGTCTCATTTGCTGGACATGCAGCACCTGTGCCCCAGCATGCAGCCAAATGGTCGAAGCCAGGACACGTCGGCTGAAGCATCGCACCCTCGGCCAGCCTTTGCTGATTGCTGACGGCTAGAGTCCGGAATGGTCCTATACCTTTTGGCCTGACAACGATTTACAACGATTTTCGGAAGTAGGCTTCACGGCCTATATCTACATGGTCAGAACGATTGTTTTTTTTCGAGGAATGTGGATACTCTCCGATTGTTCTATAGGGCCTATAGGGATGTTAGCCATAGAGCTGAGTTTCTCATGGTTGACTCGAAGCCGAAATCCCGAAAGCGAAATGAAGCCTTGTGGCAGGAAGATTGACAAGGGCCTGTGGAAGTCGCACAGGAGTTGGATGAGGCTCGGCGAAGGTGCCCAACAAATTTCACTTAGCCTTCCCGGCGGCGGAGGCCTTCAAAAGGGAGGGAATGAGTGTGGGAGGATGTTTTTCGAGTTGTTTTGGCTCTTGCATTGGCCATCATCGATCCCCTGAAGTCCTCCCAACCTACGATTGCTTTGGATAATGGAACGTGTCTAGAAAAAGAATAGCCCGGGCACGAGGGACAGGCGCACGAGCAGCGATGATATTGCAACCAGCTGAACACAAGGCGTTGAACAAACCTGCTTACTAGGTCCCCCGATCCGTTAAGTAATCGTAAGCCCTAAGCCGTCTTCCGGTCGAAGCAACTCTTCTCCAGCACCCTTGCCAGTACCCGGCGCAGCACGCGCCCCAGCCAGGGACCTCGCTCCAGAAGCCTCGGTGTCGGGTGGGACAGGGTTTACGAGTTCAGGGTTTAGGGCGTAGAGTTCGGGTGAGATAGGGGCCATAAGTATTGATGATCATGAGAAGGAGGGCTCCATGGAGGGTTCCATAATATCAGGCTTTAAGGATTTCGCTGGGTTGCAGACGGGTATAACAATGTCATACTGCACCGGACACAAAGAGCAAGTCCGACAATCCCCCGACCCGTTACATCGAATCGTGAAGCCGGACTGAAACCAAATCAAAACCGAATTCGAAGTAAAAACGAGAAAGCCAACCTAGGGGCGTCCTGTGCCACAAAACCGCTAGGACCGCTTCTCAAATGCATGATGACCACAGGCGACGGCCCAGGAACGGGCCAATGAGCGTGAAGAGCACACCGACGTCGAACGTAAAGCTCAAGTAGCCTTTTGAGAGTGTGGTTTCGGATATCGGTTGTTGGTTTGAGCCCAGAAAACCAGGGGCTTTCAGACTCAACTAAGTAAAGAATGGGATCCCCAAGTCGAGGACCCTTGAATAAGGGAGCCCTGCCGTCGCTATAGTCGAGAGCTTCTATCCCATGGCACAATCTGCTGAATCTAAACGGGTCTTATACGAAGACTTTATCTCATACCTCAACCACAAAAATAGGACTGCTGGAGTTTGAGCTTAGCGAAGCCTTGATTCAGCTAAGAGCTCGAGGGGAAGGCGACCGGGTGGCCGAATAAGTGCACGTTTTGGAATATGGAAACACCTTTCGACGTACCTCACGAACCGAGGTGCCCATGAGACGAAAGACAACATATTTTTAGCAAACATATCAGATACATTTCTCCTACCTGATTCAGGCGACGTGAGCTTGGGCCTTGACACTCTTTAGTCACATTCCGAAAACCTCAGACGACCCGAACAACTCAGGAAAGCTTCCACAAAACCTCTGCCGTTGACCAAGTCCTAAACCTACCGAAACCCCTTCAGCCCGACATGAGCATGACTAAGGACAGGCCCCGGAGCGCAAGGGGTCCACGATCTGGAGCCGCAAAGCCGGGTGTCTGTCCACAAGGCGCCGGGTGGCCTCACAGGGATCTTCTGGGTCTCGCCACTCTCGGACTCTAAAAGTGAGGCAAGGCATGGCCTCGGTAGTGATACTACCGGCTCCAAACTGGGTTTCGGGCTGCGGCTTTAGGCATTGAAGCTTGGACGTAGAAAGATTAGAGTACAGCAGGCCTGCTTACTGCAGTTCTCAACCACGAAGCTGAAAAACTACAAAGTTTGGACAAGCCGCGGTAGAAAGCAAACACTCGCAACCGTTGTGGAAGTAGTCGCAAAAGCATGATAAGGAGCACGCAGCGATGCGCGGGGGCAGGGCCTCAACTCCAGACGTCATCAGTCTTCAGCCCGACCGATCGACCGATTCCGACCGCCCTGATCCCAGGAAACCAAGCCCTTCAAAGAAACTCGGCACCCGGTGCAGCCCCGGCCTCTGTTAGGGCTTCATGGTTCAACCTCCAGAGCTCAGGTGTCACATCTTTGTAGCCGATTATAGCCAGTAATGCTGGACTGAGGTCTACTCAGGCTTCTATTCCCACTTGTACAATGAGCGTCTCTGTTGCAACCATGCCTATGAACGTGTTTCGTTCCAGCACCAGAGAACAAAGCATCCTGAGCTGATGCCATCTAAGCGACCTAAATATCGAAGCCAACAGCTGGCAAACACCGTTAGCTCAAACGACGTCGCCATGTCCATCATGTCAAGAGGTCTCACACTGCCCGAAGCAACGCCAGAAACTATATGTCCATAATCACGCAAATCCCCAATCCTAGGATGCAAGAGCCCTTGACATGGCGAAATGAACTGTCAACCGAAAGCGCAACTAACTTAGGAATGGGAGATGAGCGATGACAACAGATAGCAGGCATTAAACGGCAGTAAGAGTCTACCGCGAGGACGACGTCAGCCACCGTTGATGGTCAGAGAAGCAATTCCAGGGGCTGCGAGCAGGTAGCAGCCCGGAGCAAGGCCACGCACCCCCNNCCCCCCCCCCCCCCCCCCCTCGCCGAACATTGCCGGCCGTCCCATTGCTCAAGCAAGGCTTGCAAGCTACATCTCGCCTGCAGCGAGGTTTCACAGGGCACACGCGCTGCCCGATATCAGCAGACCCACTGCCGTTATAACCACCACCACCACCACCACCATCACCACTTCAGGTTCTGCTACTTATGCTATGTCTGCAGAGAAGAACAACAGCAGTCACTACAGTAGTAGCTATAGGCAAGAATTCTCATAATATGTTAACTCAAAGCAGTCTTCCAAACCTGCAATCCCCAACCCGAACCTCAAGCCGACAGGCCTGCCGTCGCCACGCAGAACCCACTGCCCCATTGGGGAGACCTGTGCAGCGCATTCGTTTTGTAGGTATCGGGCCGGGCGGGATACAGACCGTTGACGCGAACTGAGTGGCGCCGAAGCCAGTTGTAAGACGAGCCGAACGTGAAGGCTCTGAAGGCCCAGGAAAGATCCCCGACACTGCTACATGAATGCTACCGCGCAAGTCGGGCAAGCACCCTGTGGTACGAGCGCTGTACGGCAATTCCATACTATCCCAGACCACTGCTTCATTGAAGATCCGTGCATTGCATTTGACCGCTCAGGTCATCATGCCTGTCTCAGTACAGCTTCCAACCGCTCCCAACCGCGGCCTGCCCTGGCGAAAACCAAACGGCATATTCTTTTCCGATGTCCTGCAGGAGGCTCACAGAGTTCAGCGTTGCCGGCAGCACCGATGCTTGTACATTTTTTGGATGTTGGAGCTGTATCTAGCATTAGAGAAGGTGCTTGACTTCCCTTCATCGGGCCAAACGCAGCCACAGCTGCAGAACGACCGAGAGCAGCACGATATTGAACAAGAAAAGCGAAAACAAAACAAGCAACCGAGACCCCTGAACTCACACGCCCTGCATGCCGAAGTTGACAACTCACTACACTCGAACCATCGTCCACCGTACCGTACAGGGTTCACTTGCACCCACTCAACAAAGGTCTGTGGCAAACTGGCCAACTATCCAAAGATGCTGCTCACACACGATGAGAAGGTGAAGGACTTTTGGCTCTGCGAAGTTTACAGCCCGTGGCACCTGAGGCGCCGCATCCACAGCAGCGCAGCAGGCGGCGACGCGGGGAGCACAAGCGACGACTTCTGCGAGCCTGTGATTGGAGGCCCACAAAGTCTGGGAATCCAAACTCAAAGCATTCCTGCTAAACCGCTTTCGGCTTCCTGCGACATTCGGAAGCCGCGTTGGAGGAGCCAATAGTTCCGGACTGAGGGATTCGGGCACAAAAGGTGAGGGTTCCGGCATGCTGCGCTGGGCATCGCTGGTAGCTTCCGCGGTTTGGCTGTGCTCCTGGATGCCGGCGAAAGCACTCCACCCGTGTACTTACTAGAGCTTTGTGACTGATGCTGGCGTGATGTTGTCGTCAGCATTCATGGCTAATTACAGCAATTATAGCACAGGGTTGAGGAGGATAGCGGTAAAGATGATTGTGGTGGCTGTTGCGGTGATGACGGACGCGACGAGGGTTTATCACTGTGGTGGTGATGGTGATTTTGTTGCGCTTACAGCGGTAGTCGTTGCAGCTTAGAATTTTTCTGACCATCCTTTCAGGACGCTCCTACGTTCTATCGTGATTGTGCTGCTAGGGAAGCAGTTTCGGGCTTTAGGGTTGAAGGCCCCTCGCTGAGACCCTGGCCCCAAACCCTCAACCGGCCCTAAACAACATAACCAACCTGCAACAACCGAGCAGCTCCCTTGCAGTTCGCACTTCACGGATGCGAGGTGCCGGCACCATGCCTGCGTCACAGTTCGAGATCCCTATAAGCTGTCAGACGGCTTAGAATGATAACGCGCTGCTCGGGTGACGGCCGAACTGCAAAGCCACGAATTCTGCGCCGTGGCGTCGAACTCCACTCTACGACAAGTATGCATAAAATCGAAGACAGCCTTGGT